GACGGTTGCAGAGTCCTGGGGTTGTGTGAATCTACCATTTGGGGAGGGAAACCCGGGCCAGGGGGGGGGGAGAGAAAGAGAGAGAGAGAGAGAGAGAGAGAGAATAAAAAGTCACATCCAACAAAACAACGGAAAGTTTTTATTGTGATACTGTCAAAGAGATACAATAAAGTGAAACCACAAATTGTGTATAGTATTGCTCAGGCGAGAACCAGGAAGAAGCCACATCAGCTGCAAAATAAAGCAGGGTTTTTTTGTGTTTTTTTCCCCCCAAATTGTTCCAGCAATGAGGCACACACCAACTGCCGCAAATGCCATGGGTTTGACACTTATGTGTTTGCTTCTCTAAAATCCTTTTTTTTTTTTAAACAACTCACACTATTCGGTCGGTTTTACACTTGGGAGAAATGACTCTGGTGCTACTGATCCATTCTCGCTTGAATAATCTTTTCTTGGCCTAGCAATGCAAATTAAAGGTCTCGGTATGGTTTTATCTTTCCAAGTCCGGATAAAAATGTACGGGGTAGTTTTTAGCTTATCGGAAAACAAAAACAAAACAAAGATCAAAATGTCCCGTTTCAGATGAAAGGGCCAAAAACTTTGTACTGTTTTCATGTCGATTATCCTTGTTCGCGGCCAATACGAGGCTATTGGTTTTCCTTGAAAACGTTAAGCGCTACGAGGTGTAATTTTCCTGCAGATCCAAGTGAGTGTTAACAACGATATTTGCCACACGGTTCTATCTTTCTCTACGGCAGTGTTTCTCAACCTTGACAATTTTAAGGCATGTGGACTTCAACTCCCAGAATTCCACAGCCAGCATTCTGGGAGTTGAAGTCCACTTGCTTTAAAATTGTCAAGGTTGAGAAACACTGCTCTACGGTGACCCTAATGATTGGGATGTGGCTTTAGGAAAGATCAGAACGCAAGGGAACAGATTCACGGAGCATCACAGCAGGCCAGACACCCTCGGCCTCACAAAACTGGTGGGGCAACTCATCAACGCTGTCGACAATCTCCTGAAAGTGCACCGTTGTGTAGAAGTCACCTACAACTGCCCACTCAAAAGAAATGAAATTCAGACCCTCCACTTTTAGAAGATGCTTTCAATGGGGCCTTAGAAGGAAGAGCTGAACCAGCAATTCTCAAAGGTCCACCAAGAATGATGATTCTCTCCCACACGTGGGAACGTCTAGGAATATCCAAACGGACTTTTTGTGTGCATTTTAATGTCTGAGTCAGGTTGGGTTTGTGTGGCTATTTTACAAGAGTCGTGACTATTGACTCCCAAGAACAACAACAACAAACAAACAAACCAAAAAAAAAAGCCACACACTTCACAAATGTAAAAGTTGTCAGCGTGTTCCTCTAAGTGCCAATGAACAATCTCAAGAACCAGCTTGGAGTCAGTTCACTCACTTTACCAAGGGGAGGGAGATCTAGTAGTAGATAATGCGTAGATGTTCACAAAAATCGCCGTTACAATTTATAAAATATATAGTATATATATTTTATATATATATATAAAATAAATGTTAAGATCAACAGTAATAAAAAATAACAAGCAACAAAGGTGCTCAAGTTGAAGGGAAAGATTAAACTTACCCACAAAAGCACACACAAACTCTTAAATAGAATACGTTACAAAAAAAAAAAAAAGTTAAAATGGGAAAATGCTTTGTAAAATGTTCAAGTATCTTTCTTTCTTTCTTTTTTCTTTTTAAATTAACGCTGGAAAGTTCAGTAACCAGACTGATCTTTTTTTAGACATCAAACAACGTCCAGCAGTATCTGGATCCACCAAATCTCTCAATTTCAACTACGCAGTTTCTTGTAAGGAATTCTTCGAAGGCCAAGTCAAAAAAAACCCCAACAATTCCCAGGAATGCTACTTCAGGCCTACACAATTTGTTCTGGGTTTAAAATTCTCTACAGCCTTTTATGTCCCTTGTGTCCCTCATAATATTGCTCTGTTTGGTACCTTTAAATGCTTCTCCCTACAAATAAATTGCATCTGATTTTAAGCTGCAAATCGATGTTCCACTTTCCCCTCTTTTTTTGGCCCCTCGGTTAAACAAAAAATTCTAAGGAAAACGCCCGTCTGCATATATTTACTCAAAAGGCCGGCAGGACTACATGTTACACGCAAGTATGTAGGAAGGTGTCCCTGTTTTCGTGACGAGAAACTATACCTTGACAGACAGCTTAGTATACAATCCACTTCAAATGGATTTCTACCACTCAGTGTGAATTTTCAGCTTTATGAGAAACAGAGTCACATTGGTGTGTAACATGTAGTTCGGCCCAAGCATTCTCTGATCAAAATACGGTCTTTCATAAGATTTTCTCCTCCGTCTTTCTTTTTCCCTTCAAGCTCCTCAACCTTCTCAAAATCCGACCCAAGTGGTCTTTCGGATGATTGAGAAATGCATCAAAGATGAGCAACCACGTTAGCGAAGCAAGCATTCATGGTTGAAGGGAAAAGGTGACAGCCACCGCTGTAGGCCCACAACGCTGCTGAGAAATCCAGGACTTTTGTGGACACTGATCCCACAGGGAAGGATAGTCCGCTGCCATCAAGCAAGAGATACATCAGAACTGGACCTTAAAAGGATTTGTAGAGCAGAGTACAAGCTAATTTCATTTGAATAACCACCGGTTCTTTTGTTGGGGCTGCAAGTCAGAAAACTCGTGGGATGTATTTCGGATGCTGTTCACGGTTCCTATGCTGATGACTCTCAATCCAGTTGCCCTACATTGAATTATTACACACCCCAACGTACTCCCTAACAAGCAAGCACCTAACCAACAAGCATCCCTTAACAAGCCAGCATCTCCTCTTCTAGTCAAATTCTCCGAGGGCTGAAACTGTTGCTGTTTGGATGTGAATCAAGATGAGTCTCTATTCTGCCGCGCGGGGCTGTAGATTCACGGGTCTCAAAATTCATTCACACTAAATAAAGCACCAGAATAAAAGGTCAAACAAAATCTGAGACTAGCTGTCAGGAAGGACAGCTCTTTGGATCCAAATGTTTAAAAGGTAACTATATATACATACCCACACACACACACTTAAATAGACATATATTCAATATCCTTTTTTCTTTTTTGCATCACAGTGTAAAATCGTTCTTCTTCCCAAAGAATTTATGGAGGAATGAAATGGGGAGGGGAATCAAGAGGGATAGAGGGGCAGCATTCAATTTTCAGGAGAAGACAGTTCCTATTTTTATAAGGAAGGCGAAAAGCTAAAGTGCAGTTTGAGATCTGAATGTCAGTTAGAGGAGCTTAGTAGCAGCCAGACAATAAGCTTGAGTTGCAACAAGTAAGAAGTACATTACAGCGTCCCCATTGTAAAGCTTCCTATATAATTATTACGGTTATTGTTACTCATGCTATCAGCAGTTTGGTATTATTCAGGTATAGTGTTCTCCAATATATTTTTTTCCTCTTGGAAAGAATTTGGGGAGGAAAAGAAAATTGCAATCCCCCCCCCCCAAAAAAATATAACAATCCCCTCCCCCCATGAAGTTTTCAAATCTCTTGAAATGGTATGCATAAAAGTTCCTGTAAGGAAAGGCTACACACTTTTTACACGTTTGGTGGTCCTCTCTGACCCACCACGCTGACCATGGAGGAGGAGGGGTGTAAAAATTCCCAGGTGATGTTTCTTTTACATTAACAGGTTTATTATAAAATTGTGCTTAGGGATGATTCAGCCAGCAAATCACACACCCCCTTTTGTTTTTAAAAAAAACAAACCTACATTCATTCATTCTTTCTTCCTTTTTTTTTTAAAAAAATAAAAGAGCTTGTGCCAGGTTGTCGCGTTTGACTCGCTTGCAAAAACTTTACAACCTTCTCCAGATGGATTAGGGACAGCTTTTCGTACACACTCGCACCACGCACGCATTTTGGTGTGCTTCAGTACTGCCAAAGCCGCTGACTTCGATGACCTGCGAATTAACCGTCTCTCATCCACTGCATTAAAACTAGGTTGAAACTACATGGAACCAGCCATCAAAATTTCTGGTACCCCCTTTTTCCTATTCTCAAGGTTACAGTACCAAAAACATTTTAAACCGACGTATTAAAAATAAGAGCTGCCTATTTTTCAGCCCCTTGATCTTAAAAGACCCTGCTATACATTCTTTTTTTTCCCCCCTTTCACAGGAGCAAAGCTTAAGCTTGTCTTCAGAATGCATCTGAATTGGATCTACCATTTGAAGTTATCCTTGTAAATTATTACTCAAATCTCTTTTCTGACAGTTTCTCTCTTTTTTTAAAAAAAAAAACAACCAAACCAAACCAAACAGACAAACAAATCCTGGCTACATTCAGTCAGGGGCTGGTAACTTGAAATATCTCACGAAACCTAGCCGAAACAAATGCTAAAGGGCCGCGGTACACTTAAAAAAAGGAAAAAAGATAGAATAATGAATATACAATACTGCAATCCTCCTCACGGCAAAGAGACCACAGGAGTGGCTAATGTAAGGGAGGGGAGGAGAGGGAAAAAATGAAGGTGTACTTAATCCTACACGTTCTCAGGACTGTCCATACGGGCCTCCTTCGAAACTCTGGAGCAGATGGATCAGCACAAAGCACGCACACGGCACAAAGGAGCAACTGAAGGCAATCGGTCAAAAAAGAGAGAAGCTACCTAACAAAGGAACGACGGAATTCTTTCTTCCTTGGGAGTATAGAAAAAGTTCATCCCAAAGAACCGTGCGCACAGGGATACAGATAGAAAAAGGGGGGGACTTACACAAGGAGGGTGGGTAGGGGGGGAAGAGAAAAAAAAAGACAGGCAAGAGAGAGTCTGGAAAGAGGAGAGGACCACAACATTACACCACTGAGCGGTGGAGGAGCGTCTCGACCACCCGACCGCCGTTTTTTGTTTTTGTTTTTTTTTTCTTTTTTTCCTCCCCCGTGAGTCTTTTTTTTTTTATAAAATAAAGCCTGTTCCACAGATGGGTTGTCCAGAAACAAGGAATCGTATTGCAGTTCATTCCCAGCCATTGTCTTTGATCATGTGAGCGAGTTCGATGATGAATTTGCCTTCTTTGTACTTCTGACTGCTCTCAAAGGCGTGCTCCTAGGGGACAAAGCACAGCTCAGTCCATCCATCCATCCATTTATTGACACGTAGCCCCCGACTTACGATCGATGGTTTGTTTAGTGACGGCTCAGCGTCACGAGGGCACTGAGAAAAAGGGGACCAGGGACCATTTCTTTCACAGGACCGTTGCAGCATCCTCCTGGCGACGTGATCAAAATGGCAACGGGTTCGTCTTTAAGACGGGGTCACGCCATCCCCTTTTGCAGCCTTCCGACAAGCAAAATCAACGGGGAAGCCACTGCAGCGATTCCCTTAATGACCGTGGCAAGAAAAGGTCGTAAAATGGGGCAAAAGCCAATTAATAACTGTCATGCTTTAGCCACAGAAACTTCGGGCTCAGCTGCAGTCCTCGGAAGAGGGCTACCGGTATTAAATTTATACGCCACCCATCCCCTATCGCAGTGATGGCGAACCTTTTAGAGACCGGGTGCCCCAAAACCGCCCCCTTGCCCCCGCTCTGCCTCCCACCCTGCCTGCTCCGCCCCCACCTGCCCCCCACCCCGCCCACCTGCAGGGACACGCACCGCCTCCATGGCCCGCAGCAGATCACCCAGGCAGCCCTGCAGCACCATGGCAGCCATGCCCTCCGCCCACACCCCGCAGCATCATCTGCACGCTATGGGGCGCGAGGGCGGAGTCGTGTCCCTGCTGCCCGGCTATGTCCTTGGGTGCGCTGCTCCGTGTGGGCCGCACCCGGGGGTGACTCTCCTCCAGGGGGGCTGCTGGTGAGGAGGGGGCTGGGGCGACAGCACGCATGCCCACAGAGAGGGCTCTGAATGCCGCTTCTGGCACGCGTGCCATAGGTTCGCCACCCCTGCCCTATCGGGTGACTCCTGAGGTTAGGTATGCCTCCAGCCAAAGAGTAAACCAAACATTTTGCGCGATCCCACTTGAACGGGGAGATATATAAGCTTAAGAGGACACCAGATCACCTAGGATGGCCTTCGATGCAAGGGAAGTTTGAGAGGAAAGCTAGTTGTGACCTTCCCAAGATCCTTAGCCCATAAATGGAATCACGCGTTAAGAAACGGGCCTCCTGTTCTCCACAATCCTAACAAACGTGATCTTGAAATTGGTTCACACCTAACTATGTGCCTAAGATGAAGAGAAAGGGGAAAGAGGCAGCTGTGATGTCACACGTTCTGCTGAAGGGTGGGCCGCAAACAGGAAGGACAACACAAGCCACACAGCCTCCTTCTTCTCGCCAGGGTGTCGACTGGAGGTTATGCACTTTCTACGCTGGCCGCCCAGCTCTTTGAAATCTGTGCGCATGGAGCTAAGGACAAGTTCTCTTCATACGTATTTATACATATGTTGTGTGTAACATGTTTCAATGTGTGTTACGTGTGGGTGCACTTTGAGAGCAAGCAACTGAATTTCATTTTTAATGTGTGCCAATGTGCCCACAGTAAAAAAAATGACAATAAAGGTTATCAGTCATCTATCTATCTATCTATCTATCTATCTATCTATCTATCTATCTATCTATCTATCTATCTATCTATCTCTCCATCATCTATCTATCTATCTATCTATCTATCTATCTATCTATCTATCTATCTATCTATCTATCTATCTATCATCTCTCTCTCTAATCTATATCTATCTCGCTATTTAGTTCTCTATCTATCTATCTATCTATCTATCTATCTATCTATCTATCCTATTTCTCTATATCTTGCTATCTAGTTCTCTCTCTATATATCTATCTATCATCTATCTATCTCTATACCTCTCCATCTCTATCTATTTATCTATCATCTCTCTATCTATCTCTCTATCTCTCTCTAAATGAACACAGGGGACCTCTCAGCCTTTTGAGGCTCTCCCCCTTCGCTCTAGTTGAAAAAAATGTCCTGGACCAAGTGACATTAGAACAGGGACGTTAGCAGTAGACATGGGAGCGTGGCAAGCAAGTTGCTTATAAAGTAGTCCTCAACTTACAACAGTTCCTTTAGTGACCATTCAAAGTCAAAACGACACTGAAAAAAAGGGACCTATGGCCGTTTTTCACACTTACAACCAATGCAGCCTCCTCCGTGGCCACGTGATCAAAACTCAGACCCTTGGCAACTGGCATGTACTTACGACGGTTGCAGTCTCCCGGGGTCACGTGATCCCCTTTTGCGACCTTCTGACCAGCGAAGTCAATGGGGGAAGCCGGACTCACTTAACAACCGTGTTACTAATTTGACAACTGCAGTGATTCGTTCAACAACGGTCGTAAGGAAGGTCGTAAAAGGGGAGGAAATTCATTTATCCACTGTAATCACTGAGCAACAGAAACGTTCTGCTCAGTTGTGCTTCGTTCAGTTGAGGACTCTCTCTATTCTCTGACTTTTGAAACCTGGAGCTGGCCTGCTTAGTAAAGGCCGTATTCCAGTATCTGAGGGGCTGCCCCAAAGAAGAGGAGGGGGGGGTCAACTCATTTTCCAAAGCACCAGAAGGCAAGACAGGAAACACTGGATGGAAATGCATCAAGGAGAGAAGCAACCTGGAATTAAGGAGAAACTTCCTAACAGTGAGGACAATTAACCAGTGGAACAGCTCGCCACCAGATAATGTGGGTGCTTCATCACTGGAGGTTTTTAAGAAGAGACTTGAAAGCATGGCATAGGGTCTCCTGCTTGATCAGGGTTTGGACTAGAAGACACCTCCCCCAAGATCTCTTCCAGCTCTATTCTGATTGAAAAGTGTAACTAACTAACTAACGCAACTGCTACTGTGTGCAACTGGCCTGAGTCCTCCTCCAACGGTCAGCTCAACCAACGGACCCAAAACGTAAAGGAACTGGCAGGGATGGGGTGCTCCCTCTTTCGCGTCAAGCCGACATCAAACCAAGAGAACCAGGCCACGCCCAGAGCAGAGGCTTACGTATTTCCATCCGAGGGTGGTTTTGCAGTTTTCACAATAAATATCTGCTACGGCGTGCAAGCCCGTCAGAAGAACCCGCTCTTCCGCAGGACCACAGCCTACGTTCACCCTGCGAGAGAGAGAGAGGGAGGGCGGGAGAAACACAGGTCGTTTCGTTGAATGTATAATGGCGTCGACAGCAAAAATAGGGAAACAACAACACTTCGGGCCAGGACTTGGGAGGGAAATGTTTCCTGAGTTTGATTCAAGAGCTGTTTTGAAGACAAACGCCTTGTTTCCATCCTCCAAGCCAGCGGATTTACGAGAAGCGTCTAGTATAAAATAGGGGACGGCGTTGCGATGGCTTCTCGGCGTGAGCGAAGGAAGAACGACTTCAATGTGTCTGTCGCCTCCATCCAAGGCAAGCAGGCAGAATGGTCCAGCTGGGCCAAAGGTTTCAATGTGCCTCTTTTGAATTTCTGGTGGGGCGGTAAATATGCATGGCTGAAGAGCAACAGTAAGGAGGGGACGATGGTCTGGAGGCTTTCCAGATGGGTCAACTAGGTGGACCTTAGTAGGGTACGGTGAAGAGCCTGTAAATGGTCTGATGTTCAACACTATCTATCTTTCCTGTCATTCCTTAGCATTATCCTAACAGTGTGATGTTACTGCCTGGAACTTGGAATTCAGCCTTCCTTCCTTCTTTTCTTCTGTTCTTCCTTCCTTCTTTCCCTTCTTTTTCTTCTCTTGTATTCTTTTTCTTCCTTTCCTTTCTTTTTCTTCCTCCCCCTCTCTCTTTCTCTTTCTTTTCCTCCCTCCCTTGGTTTTTTTCTTTTCTCTCTCTCTCTCCTTCCTTCCCTCCCTCCCTCCCTCCCATTCATTCCTTCCCTCCCTCTCTCCTTCCTTTCCTCCCTCCCTCTCCCTCCCTCCTTCCTTCCCTCCTTCTCTCTCCCCTCTCTCTCCCTCCCTCTCTCTCCTTCCTTCCTTCCTTCCTTCCTTCCCTCCCTCTCTCTCTCCCTCTCTCCCTTTCCCTCTCTCCAACCCAACCCACCAGCAGGCTAGCAAGACCGAAACATTTCTCAGTGCTGCAGAAAAGCAGAAAATGAATGGTACTTACACAGAATTAAAGAGGTAGGCGCGTCCTTGGCTTCCCTGAAAAGACTGTAAGAAAGAGAGAAGGGAATGTTACATTTATTTTTTTTAAAAAAAAGAAAAATGTGGTCAGATCATGTCACAGCATTCTTTCAATAAAGCACCCCAGAAATCGTGGGCGCTCCATCCCTGGAGATTTTTAAGAAGAGGCTAGACAGTCACCTGTCTGAGATGGCATAGGTTCTCCTGCTTGAGCAGGGGGCTGGACTAGAAGACCTCCAAGGTCCCTTTCAGCTTCTATTCTATTCTAAGGTCTACCTGCTTCAATGGTAAACTCTGAAATGGGCATTGCCTAGAATACACACAGTAAGTGAGAGTTACGCTGGATCATCTAACACGGGGATCTCCAACCCTGGCAACTTTAAGACTTGTGGACTTCAACTCCCAGAATTCCTCAGCCAGCCCTGAGGGGCTGGCTGAGGAATTCTGGGAGTTGAAGTCCACAAGTCTTAAAGTCGCCAAGGTTGTGGATCTCTGATCTAACAGACACAGATACCAAGACTTATGGCACCGGCTCAGTGGCAGAAATGTGGCAAATCTTCTAGGTACATGGAAACAGATACAATAAATAATAGAGCTGCAAAAAAATAAATAAAAAGTAGCCAAAGAGAAGGGCAACATTTCTATAGTTGTTATTGTATCGCCTTCACCAAGAGAAAAGTGACAAAAGGAAGAAGGATGGGTGTATTCCTATTTTCACACAAGGATTTAAAAATCCTGCAAGTTCTCAGCTACTCGGAAATGGTAGAGGGTCAGGTTTCTGCGCCAGCTATCAATTATACGCTAGAAATGGATGAAACGCTTGTATCCACCAGACATTATCAAAAGACACATTTCCAGAAACTCTGAAAATATATCACAGGCAGTCCCCAACTTACAACTGTTCACTTAGTGACCGAAGTTAAAACAGGACTGGGAAAAAAGGGACTTAGGATCATTTTTCACACTTAATTCATGGGTCACAGGATCAAAATTCAGCCGTTTGGCAACCGACTCATATTTATGACCGTCACAGTGTCCCGGAGTCATATGATCCCCTTTGGTGACCAAAGTCAATGGGGGAAGTCAGATTTGTTGGACCACCATGTTACTAACTTAAACAACTGCAATGACTCACTTAACAGATGTGGCAAGAAAAGTCGTAAAACGGGGCGAAACACACTTCACAAATGTCTCATTTGGCACCGTCAATTTCCCTCTGCCTGGATGCGTTTTCGCTCTTGGCTGTGATCAGTAAGCGGCTAAAGGGAAAACAGACCTCAAGTCATGATGGGGTGAGTGTGTTTGTGTGCGTGTACAAACACACACAAACACCCACAGACAGAGCAGCAGATTTCAAGAGTTTATTTAGGTTTTATTATCATACTATCAGGGCTGAAAGCAGATTAGAATATATTACGCGTAGCTTAGAAGCCCTTTTAAAATGTCCAGAACGTTACTCGTTGCCTTAGGGTTGAAAGACCCTGGCTAAAATAAATGGGATTTTAGCCACAACCAGGATTAGGTTTATATCAAGCAGCGTGTACTCGCGTTATTACGTGGCGTAGGGGGAAGATGATCGGAATCAGGGATGAAAAGATGAAGCTTGCAACTATGGTTATTATTATTTTTTCCAGGAATGCTAGGGCGTCTAGAAGTTTTGGAGTTAGATGCTAAGCTGTAAAATTTGCTTTTCAGAGCAACTGTGCCAGTATTTCACGATTTCTTTAGAGACGCTGATATTTTGTGCATTTTTGTGAGAAAAGTTAAGCTTTATTATTTTTAAAAAAATATATATATAGCACCAGTTCAGGTGGCAGTTGTGCACAAAGTCTTATTTTTAGCCAGAAGCTCAAAATTAGCGAAGAGATTTTAATGGCGCTAAAAGAAGGAAAATAGAACTACATTTAGTCCTCTACTTACGACCACAATTGACCACAATCTTGCCACAGTGGGTCAGCAAATTGCTGCGGTTGTTAAGTTGGTAACACAGTCATTAAGGGAGTCTGATTTCTCCATTGACTTTGATTGTCAGAAGGTCGCAAAAGGGGATCACGTGACCCTCCAGGGACACTGCGACCGTCATAAATATGAGTCAGTTGCCAGTTGCTTGAAATTTGATCGTAGGACCCTGGGGATGTTGCGACAGTTGTTAAGTGTGAAAAAGAGTCATACGACACTTTTTTTCAGTGCTGTAACTTTGAACAGTCCCTAAATTAAATGAATAGAATAGAATAGAATAGAATAGAATAGAATAGAATAGAATAGAATAGAATAGAATAGAAGCTGGAAGGGACCTTGGAGGTCTTCTAGTCCAGCCCCCTGCTCAAGCAGGAGGCTTACAACAGTTGTAAGTCGAGGACTACATATAGTAATCATGTAGCCACTGCTACTTCATTTATACAGAACAGGGAAATGAGGAGTTAAAGAATCTGTAGCGTGGGAGAATAACAGAGCGACTGAAAGCTTGATGCTCTTAAGACTAGGTAACTTTCTTTGCAGAATCCACCAGAGGGAAAGGTGGAAGAGAAAATCTGAAAAAGAACATGCTGATTTACAGAGCCTTCCCAAGGGACAGGCTTCAAGAGGTAACTCGAAATCAAATTTCCCAACCGCGTTTCCAGCAGAATGAGCAATTTGCAGTATCACAATGTACGGCGTGCAAATCAGGAAATGTTTGGATTTATGTTAAGGGCAACGTGATTCAATGAAAGCCTGACACAGGAAATGTTTGTTTTTGAAAGAGGAATACTTTGTGCTTTACATCTCAGATATAGATAGATAGATAGATAGATAGATAGATAGATAGATAGATAGATAGATAGATAGACAGACAGACAGACAGACAGACAGACAGACAGACAGACAGACAGACAGACAGACAGACAGACAGACAGACAGACAGACAGACAGACAGACAGACAGACAGACAGACAGACAGACAGAATATAGAGATAGAGATAGATAGAGATATAGAGATAGAGATAGATATAGATAGATATCGCAAAAGGGGATCGCGTGACCCTGGGACACTGCGACCGTCACAAATGTGAGTCAGTTGCCAAGCGGCTGACTTTTGATCACGTGACCATGGGGAGGCTGCATCAGTTGTGGGGAAAATGGTGTTTTTAGTGCCGTTGCAATTTCAAATGGTCACTAAATGAGTGTTGTAAGTCTACCTATACCTTACACCTGAAATGTACACCAGATCAGCTGCAGTACAGTAAACTTGTGAGTACTCCAACAATGCAGATACTAAATAAACAACTAGACCAGGGGTAGGCAACCTTGGCTCTTTCATGACTCGTGGACTTCCAACTCCCAGAATTCCTGAGCCAGCCTGGCTCAGCTTGGAAACCTCTCCCTTTCCCCTCAGCGTGGCTGGCTCAGGAATTCTGGGAGTTGAAGTCCACGAGTCATAAAAGAGCCAAGGTTGCCTACCCCGGAACTAGACTGAAAACATTCTGTAAGTTTGGTAAACGGTTTCCTTTAAAGCTGAAACATATTTTACACTGAAAACAGCTTCAACGCCCAGGAAACACAAACTTGGAGAAGAGTTTATTAACCACTTCGATCAAAAGTGCTGGGATCTGCTTTTTTTTTTTTTGCACAGAAAAGAATAATAATAAAAACCAACGAGCGGGAAACTTAAGCAGATGTGATTGCTGTCCATTGGGTACGACGAGTTTAACATTCAGAGCCTGAAAAACAAATGCAGGCTGTTCTCCACTTAACGACCACAAGCCAGCCCAAAATTTTCCACGGCTAAGCAAGACGTCAAATGAGTTTCGCCCCATTTCACGCCTTTTCTCGCCACGGTTGTTAAGCGAATCGTGGCATTTGTTAAGTTAGTAACCCGGCCGTTAAGTGAATCTGGCTCTCCCCCCCCCCATTGACTTTGCTTGTCGGAAGATTGCAAAAGAGGATCGCGTGACTCCGGGACGTTGCAACCGTCGTAAGTACATGCCAGTTGCCAAGTGTCCGAATTATGATCACGTGACCGTGGGGAACGCCGCCAAGGTTGTAAGTGTGAAAAACGGTCATAGGTCGCTTTTTGTCAAGGCCATGTAGCTTCAAATGGTTACTAAAGGAGTGGTTGTAAGTCTAGAACAGGGGTAGGCAACCTTGGCTCTTTGACGACTCGTGGACTTCAACTCCCAGAATTCCTGAGCCAGCACGGCTCAGCCTGGAAACCTCTCCCTTTCCCCTCATCGTGGCTGGCTCAGGAATTCTGGGAATTGAAGTCCACGAGTCATGAGGGGGCCATAGTTCCCCCATGCTGGCTCAGGAATTCTGGGAGTTGAAGTCCACGAGTCATAAAAGAGCCAAGGTTGCCTACCTCTGGCCTAGAACTACCTGTACTGTGCTACCACAAGTGAGTTCATTAGTTCCAACACGGACATCCACTATAGCTAGGTCAACGCTAAGAAGGAAAATCTGGGCCTTGCAAGGTTGACTCCTCGTACAATCCAACATTTGTCTCCAATAAATGCAGCAGGAAGAGGTACCAGACACACCAGAGAGAAAGAAATACTCTTGAGAAGAAATAAGCTCAAGAAGCCGAAGGATTATACAGAATTTTGGAGACGGATTAATAAGAATCGGTTCACAATACACAGTTTTTCAGGCTTTCAGTTTGAAATCTTTTCAAGTATGGATTAGGAGGAAATTTAAAGTGTCCTTCAGAGGTAAGAAGAGCTTGTGGCTTCGGATATTGCTTTCACTAAACAACTTAGGAAAAAAACATAACAAAAGAAAACCACCTTTGGGACAAGCCATGACCTGGATGATTGAGCATCTCCACAGACATTTAGAGAGAGAAAGAGTCCTAGTAGTAGAATGGATACGGATTACTCCTTGGCTATGTTTTATGTAAGCGATGACATTTCTAAGCATGGAAAAACAACAAACTACACCATCCACCTTTAAACTGTTTTTTAAAGGCATAATTTTCTGGGAAACTGATACGCAACATACATACACACTGATTTTACTAGTGTTTTTCAAAGTTGGCAACTTTAAAATGTGTGGACTTCACGTCTTAGAATTCCCCAGCCAGCACGCTTTGAGTTGAGTGGACTTCAACTCCCACAAGGCTGCTGAGGAATCCTGGGAATTGAAGTCCACACATCTTAAAGTTGCCAAGTTTGAAAAACACTGCTCAGTACCTATACACATTATGCGTTTTTATTCAGCGAATTCTTAGTAGAGGATTCCGAAACAGCTAAAACGCCGGTCTGGCTTTTCCGTCTGACTTGAGGCCCTTCAAATAACGAGGGTGCATCAAAGGGCAAATGCATGAGGTCTAGAGACTTGCCTTGGAAATGAGCTCATCGTGATTGGCCAGGTGGGCTCTGCAGTGGATACAACTGTAGGTTCGGTGACAATTTGGCAGGTACGCCTGGAACGTTTTGGATTTTGTCATTTTTACCATTTCCGTCGCTGGCTCCTCGGTCTGATCAGGGCTGGCACTTGAGAAACAATTTTGCTGAACTTGCTGACAAAAGAAACACTGGAAAATGCAGGCAAAAGCCGTCGTTGTTGTGTAGGGTGTGTGGCCCTTTCCACACAGACGCTACCGAAGAATCTGTTAAAACCTAAAAAGGAAAAGAAGGGCCGTCAGCCATTCAGTCTTCCCGTCCACCACCTGGGGGTTACCTGGCCCTGCCTAGCCACTCCTCACTTAATAAAGGAGGGGGTCTTGCCTGCTTCTTTTACGCAGTCACCAGATCATCCCCAAAGAAGGATCTAAACAGATCTCTGCACACCGTCCTTCAGGCCATCAGCAATGCGATGCAGAAGGCAGAGTGCAAACACACACAAAAAAAGGATGAAACTGGAGGCCAGGGTCTTGAATGAGCTGAGTAGAACGCTACTAAAACTCCCTTGCGCCTGGCCCAGCGGTGCCCAACCTTGGCAACTTTTAAGACCGGTGGACTTCAACTCCCAGAATTCCCCAGCCCAGCCTTGGAAGCCCCTCCTGCTCACTTGCTCCCAACAAAATGTCACTCTTCTCCAGTTAGGTACCATATTTTTTTTTCCGTTGTGATTGACAGAGGAGGTCAAGGGGAGACAGAAGGAGGAGCTCCTGTTAGACATGAAAGGGGTGAGGGGAATTTTGAGTCTATTATGTCGTACTGCAGGTGGTCCCCAACTTACGGCCATTTCTTTAATGACCCTTCCAAGTGATGCAAAAAGGGAGTTGCCGCCGCTCCTCACACAACGGTGGCAGCCTCACTGCAGTCGTGTGATCAAAACTGGGGCAAGGGGTCATGTGATTGCCCGCTGTGACCCTCTCGGCTAGCTTTCATCGAGCAAAATTAATGGAGGGAAGTTAAGATTCGCTTAATGACCAAGGCAAAAAGTGTAAAAACCAGGCGCGGGCCACTTAATGACTGCATTGCTTAGCGACAGGGAATTCTGGTCCCCAATGGTGGTGGTAAGTTGAGGTTTACCTGTATATGTGAGATCCTTGGTGCTCCCTGAGCTCGGTGGTTTCCTTGCAGATATTTCAGGACCAAACTAGGCAATATCACAAATGACAGACTTGGAGGGGACCTTGGAGGTCCTCTAGTCCAACTCTCTGCTCAAGCAGACGACTTTGGACCATGTCAGAGGCTTCTTAAAAACCTCCAGTGGTGGAAGCAGCCAACCACGTCTGGAGGCAAGCCGTTCCACTGGTTAATCGTCCTCACTGCTTAGGAAGCTTCTCCTTAATTCCAGGTTGCTTCTCTCCTGGATTAGTTTCCGCCCGCTGTTTCTTGTCTTGCCTTTTTGGTGCTTTGGCAAATCTGGAAAGCCATCAGGGCACTCCAAGAGCACCAAGGACCCCACAGCTCAACCCTGACACTATTCTCTTCTGTCGCTATATCTGGTTTGGACGGAGCTCTGTTGTAAGAGAAGGTGCTCGGGCAGACCTGCTCTTGACATCAACACAGCTTATCCAAGTTCTGTAACCACCCTCCCCTTTGTACACCTCTTCACTTTTAATTTCTAGTATAAACAAGGCTGGTTTCTGAGAGGTGAGGCTACCAGTGACATGATGGCGGGGTGGGGTGGGGGAAAGACAGCTGGTGCTTTGTCGTGATGCATTGGGATGGGGTGATAGGAGGGAAGAAGAGGCCGTGAGAAATGGTGAGGGGCTTGCCGATTCTTCAGCTCTCCAACCCAATTGCCAGGAGGCCTTCCAGGGAGTCATCAAGATCCCTTGCCACTTCCCCATCCATTCTGGAAGCACATCTGAGAAACCCATCTGCCACAAAAAAAATAAAAATAAAATAAAAATGAAACCGGCAGGAAAATGGCAGCAAGACAGCAGTGATGGAGTGACACGAGATGAAAGCCCCGTCTGTTTGGTCTCCTCTCAGAAGAAGGCCAGGTCCACGGGCGTGCAGGTTTTCTTGGACTCAAAATGAGACACACACCCCGCCCCCAAATCGTCTCGGATTGGCTGAAAAATACAATAATAATGGGAAGTTTGGAGGGGGGGTCTTTACGCCAAGACCAGGGAGACAATGCCACAAGGAAAAGAGTTTTGTGACTCAGGCGAGCTTTGGATCATGTTTGAAGTGGTGACAGAGCGCGTTCATTGTCACGTCCCACTGTGTCTTGGTGACAGAATTGAAGGATGGTGAACAACTCCTTGCTGTAAAGCAAAAAGGTCATCATCATCGTCATTTTGGAGAGACTCAAAAAGCTGGAGGGGACAGCTTGATTCTGCAATATCCAGAAATATAAAAGAGAATATTGGAGTTCCGGTTTGAACGGTGGAGCCCTTGGCGCTCTCTGAGCTTGGTTGTTTTCTTCTGCTAGCATTGATGTTGTTACTTGGTTGGGTCATGAAACGTGGGCAAAACGACAACCAAGCTCAGAGGGCGCCAAGGGCCCCATGCTCAGAAAACTTATTGGCGCGAATCAATTCCATTAAATGTAATATAAGAATTAAGTGGGGATATGTAGAAAAAGAAAACATTATGCAATTATGTTTAAGATAAAGACTTTCAGGACTGGATTATGGTGTCCAGCAAGGCTGAGAGTTGGTCAACTAAGAACATCCTTTAAAATGTTAAGAGGTTTGGGAGGGTTTGCAAAGCAGGAAGGCATTTGCCTGTACCTGCAATACCCAAGTTTTCCAGACCACAATCTCACAGTTGTGTTTAATTCAGCTGCGGTACCAAACTCCAGGACCAATGGATTCAGCTCCAGTAAAACCATGTAAGCTAGGCATTCGTGATATCAATGGCTTCTAACTGCCTGACCGATGCAAATTTTCTTGAACAAAAGAACCATCCAACAAAGCACAAGCGTGGCAACAAAGAACATGACCTAAACATTTACAAAAAAAAAGCCAGCGTTGCTACGAAAGTGAAAGAAAATTCAAGAGACTGGCTTGACTTTCTAGAAAATCTATTTTAAGCCAACCAAAGTCACTAGCATCAGTTCAGAGATCAAAAGCTATTTTAAAAAGAAAAATCCTTGGGAGTTAAGGCACGGATTTAATTTACATCGGGCTAATTGCTTGCTGATTGCTGGGGTCCTCTCTTTTCTCCAGTAGAATAGAAGCAATGTGCCCCCAATGTTTTGAGGTGCACCAATTTTCCCAAAGAGGCTTATCCTCTTCACGCACCGTGTGAAATTCTGCCTGCTAGCATGACATCATTTAAAGAAAATAAAGAGCTCCTGGTAGCCAAGCAGCAGCCAATCTTAAAACACAGAGGGCTGTCTTTCCTCTGCACCCGGATGTATAAACAAATATTTAAGCATGTTACCTGCCACAAAAAAAAAAAAAAAAAACACCCCAAACAAGATTGCAAAAATAAATCCAGCCGCTCTACCCACCCACCCCCCCAGCCAAGGATCTGACAATCCTGCAAAGCAACAGGTCGCTCGAACTGACCTTACGGCACAGGTACCCTGCTCTTTCATAAATATGCATTTCACAACCGTTCGTATTAAAAGCCCTTTCTTTCATTGATAAAATATGCAAAGCGCCACGGGCAAAGCTACCCGGTAAAACAAGAGTTATTGCAATCAGGTGGGCCATCCCTTGTATGTTTAGGCTTCATCGGGGGGAACGGAGTGTTTCATCTTCGTTAAACATCAAAAGGCAGCGACTAAATCAGACGTATAAAGGAGCGTTCATCGGAAGCCAAATCATTTCATTCTTTTTCAATTCATCGGGATGAGTGGCCTCTTAAAGCCTCCGAATGGAGCCGCTAGCGTTCAGGGTACATTGCAAATAGCCCCCCCCCGTTCAAAAAAGGGCGCTTCGTTCTAAACCAGCCCAAGCATTTCTCTGTGCAAACACGTCCACATGCCCCAGGAGAAGAACTGAACAATGGATCTCACCCGGGCTGCGACCCGAACAAAGCCCAAGCCTCGGACGGATCCCGGGAAACGTCAGGAGTTTCCTAAGCAATCCCACATCGCGAGCGAAAAGTCAACTTGTCCCTTCGATTTTCGTCACCCGAGCATCTCCTTCCCGGGTCTTGGTGGGCAGCAGGAAATTCAGGAGCCTGCAGGAAGATCAGGACTTCTTTTTTTTTTTCCCCCTCCGTAGCCGCCGTTGCAAGAGGCAGCTGGCTAAAAATAGGCAAGACACCTCCAGCCTGGTTTAGACAACACAGCACCTGGGGAAGGAGGCGAACGTGCGGCAACTGAGTCCCAGACAGTGTTCAGACCTTCCTGTAGCCAGCCAGCACCTGCTGGATCCAAGTTGGAAAAAAAATATATAATAATAATAGAAAAGGCAACGGAGGGCTGGATGCTATTCTTTTCGACGGTGTTGACAAACAGCTACCACAGGGCAGGAAGCTGCTTGCCACAGCTTGGCACTGGAAGGGGAGGGGGTTCTGATATAAAGAAACAGAGCTGGAGGGGGGGGGAGGCTTGGGGGGAAACGAAGAGGCTGCTTTTGCAACAATATTATGTAAAGCGTGCCCCTCGTGTTATTCCGACCAGTATGCACAACTGCATCCAGGGGGGGGGGGGGGAAACCCCAAGGAAAACAACAAAAGGGCTCCCCTTGCCAAAATCTGGAAAGCCGTCCCAAACGAAACCGACATCGAATGTAGAACCCAGGGGAAAGTGGCAAGGAGTTGAAAACCCCAGCAACAACAAAAGCAGGAGGAGAGAGATCTGGGTGCCCGGAGTGAAATTTCCCCTTACCTCTGGGGCTTCCTTGTTTTGACTCAGGCACAAACCACGGTCTAGAAGCCTCCAAACCCGATTAGCAAGTGGACAAGGGACGGCACGTAGGAAGAGCCCCCCCCTCTCCGTGCCTTACCGTGATCGTCATAGGAACATGCACAGATCCTAGGAATAGACCGACATCGTTCAGCCTGCCCCCCCAGCTGCAAACTCACCAAGACAATGGGGCAGAGGCAGGAGCAGATAACACGGGGAGGTTTATGACTCCAGTGCTCCAGGCCACAC